ATCAATAAACTAATATCTATTTAAGTGACAATCAATAGTTAACATCTACCACTAATTCCCCTTTAAGATCCAGGACCCAAAACCAAATTGGCAACTATCGAAAGATTTAATTTAACAGTTAAGTATGGCCAGTATGTGGCATTTCATTCACTTCAACAAAGGAAAAAATGCTCCTGGTACAACTTTATAAATTGCTTTATTTGCCTTATACCTGATCAGTAGAAGCTGTTTTCTGACTTAACCTTTACCAAATTAGAAAGTACTCCATTGTGCCACTTCAGCCTCACACTGTTTTAACTAAACAGGAGAGAATCAGCAAAAAGCTTACATACATAGGAGCTGGCAAAGAATTTTTCAAACTATCTTTGCCAATTTTAGCTCCCACATCATATCCAGATCACCATTTAATTTTTTGTTGCCTCTAAGCAATGAGGTCCAGAAAAGGTCGAGGTTATAAAGGATTAAGGAGAGATCACCACAGGTACTTTGAGTCTTTCACATCTTGGGACTTGTTGCCCTTGTCCTAGAGAAGGAGCCCACCCTGGGAGTGAGGGAGTTATTAATATTGCTACCCATTTTGATAGTTCTCACAGGGACAGGAAAATAAGCCAAAGCTAGAAAGCAATCCAAGCCTTACAGTTGTCCAATAACTCAGGGCCAGTTGATTAGAAATCTATTTTTGTCCCTTTAGCCCATATCCTTAGAGTCAACCTATAACTAACAGCCTGACTATCTGACCAGCATTTTCATGATATAAAATGTAACCATTCACTTATTCTGCATTTAAGAACTTCAACTTCAACCTTATCACCAACATATTTTCCAACATTTCCTTGTGAGTGTATAGCCACAAGAATATATTTTCATGAAGTCAAGAGAAATATAGTAAGATTCTCAGTCAGAAAAAACAATCAATAAAACAGTAAGAATGAACCTAGAAACATCACAAAAGATACCCAATTAACTTCTGGCATGTTGTGCCTGATGACAGTCACTGAGTCACACTCTTTGGCACTTAAACAGAGTAGCTGTGTTTAAAGAAGTAAAAGTAGAGAATGAAGTCTAACAGAATGTGAATAACTTGAGGCCAAAAGAGGACCTCTGTCATTAAGACTGGGAAAAGGTTTAGTTGGCTAATTCATATACTTTCCAGCCTCTCTACTTGTCCTTGCCTGGAAGAGAACTACCCATTTAATAATCTGAAACAGGATTATTCCAGAGAAATGTTAACTTTAAGTAGAACCCATCCTCAATTATAGTGCTAGACCTAAAAGAAAAATAATGTATCACTTTGAAGTAAATCACAGCTATTCGCAGATATTGCAAAAATCCTCACTAGTCATCTTCTACATCACATTTTACTTTAATAACATAAATACCTCTGTAACAAGACCTAAAAGTAACCCAGTTTTAAGCAGTGCTCTTTTCCCCCCAAAACACACAACCTAAATGTTTGTCTGTCATAGAACTGCATGATTTCAAAGTTTTATTTCTGTATACTGATGCTACTTTTTTAGTGATGAAAACCCAATTATTTTGTTGCTGGCTTTTGTGTCTAGTGGTTGAGAGAATGATATAACTATCATATCATTGGATTCTGGAGTTGCCCCTTTCAAAATAAACTTCCCTTTATTGCTTTTGCTGCTGCTTTATTAGAAAATGAACTTTTATTATTATGTCCACTAATTACAATATTTTAAATTAAGATATTTTAATATGTTCTTAAATGTATTTTTGAGGGCCAACTCTCCACATTTTTATAACAACAATCCAGTATAATGTAGAAAATGGAAACATGTATTTTGGGTAGAAAATGTCAATTTAAAAATACCTATAGATAAGAAAATTATTAGCCCTGTGCAACAATTATAGATTTTGACCAACATTTCAAAAATATAAACGTCCCATAATATTTTAGGTCATAATGTGAGCTAAGATGCAATAGCTCATTCTCTCAACTGCTATCAATAGGCACCTAGATGCTTTGATTTTTATGGGTTTTTTTTCAAGTTTTAGTGCTGAAATGCTTTTTGTGTTTAAAAGTGTGCATTATACAACTCATTTTAGTATGCTATTTCTATGTTCATTTTTTTTGGTCTTTTAATAAAATGTTAAATTTCTTGGTTATGTCTTTTTTTATGAATCCATATCCACACGTTAGGGGTTCACTTAAAAGCTATTCATGTTCTAGCATATTAATCCTCATATTTAGTAATACTAATGTAAAATTTAAGTTTGTAATTTGGTTCAATGTTATATTTCATACATAGAATAAATTTATTTCACAATATAACTTCAGTATTTTGAATTATATAATCATCCATTGTATTAGATGTATTATTCCTGTGATAGTGAAGTTACTAACCCCATAAAGATATACTTATATTTTAGTAAAAGAAAATTTAAAATTTTGAGATAATGTTTATTGGCTTCTATTCCATTTCAAAAATTGAGGCATATTCTAAGATATATTATTAGAAGTTTTGTAATTTACAGTTATTCCTTTCTACCCTTCATCTTTAACATAATATATGAAACCAGTGCTGTTCATTTTATTCTCTACAGATGGACATCAATGGTTTCATAACAATGAGATGAATAGATTTTTTTCATTAAAATGTTTTCTCTCACTTAAAATTGGTTTTGTCCAATAAATAGCACAAGAATGAAAGGATAATTATGTTAGGTTTTTAAGAAAGCAAAATGTAATTTGGTAATACTTTATTCTGTCAGATTTCTAAATACTTAAAAACATTAATTGTGAACTTCTCATTGGCCACCATTTGGTAGTGGGGCTGATGGAAAACTGTGGTGAAGAGCCTGTGGATGAGAGGTTGTGACAGAATAAAGTATTATTATTAGTCACACATCTAAAACAGTAAAATGGGACAGGGATGAGGTTGGGTCCCTGTGTAATATCAACTGAATCATACAGAGCTACTAGCTCCATTGCCCCCTTATGCTTTACTATCTCTGAGTGTGGTTCCCACTATGGCAATATGCCAAATTTGAGCATTTTGATGTATTGTTGTGCATGTTTCTGTGAGTCTGTGATAATCCCAGCACTAAAACCAATTCAGTATATAGACATTTATAAGAGGTATTTGACCTCGTCAGAATTCAGTTTATGTGTTTCTCTTTGATTTTTATCATGAAAATAAAATTTCTATTGGCCAGAAGAAAGTTGACCAACAGGCAAAACCAGATGGACATCCATACTCTGATTTTTTACTTGACTCTTTTCTAAATTAGAAATAGCCATTTAATTTGGCCTTCCCAAGTTTTTCTTTTGGTGCCTGGATTTAAACTTCTCCCTTAGGCAGGAGGACAGTGAGGCTGAGGAATAAAAGCCAAGAGCACCAGTGATAAAAAGGTAAGCCACCCAGACATAAGGATGAGGTTTGGGAGAGGGACAAGAGGTCTAATTTTGTCCTTTCAAATGGATGCCAAAAAGGAAAAGCACAACACTCTGAAGTAGATACAGAAATCAGTATAAGAAGGAATTTCTGGTCAGAGTAGCCCAGTATTTTTGTTGTGTATGAAAACAGAGTGCAGTGCAAAGGCAGTCAGGGAACACAGGCAAAGCACAACAGATGCATGAAAAATTATAGGTTTACCTAATAAGGAAGAAGGAGGTTTCCCCATAAGAGATTCAGTACATTTCATGCATGTAAAAGTGAAAAGAAAGAGATTGGTAAAAAATCGGAGTAACAGTGGATGAATAGCAGCAAGCAGTAGCAACAGCACCTTTCAAAGCAGTAACAACTGAACTTGAGAGGATGCAGAAGGAATCTGAGGAGACTCTGCGGTCAGCATACTTCTAGAGATGTTCTGGTTACAGATGACAAGCAACCCATTAAGGATCAATGTAGGTCTTAAGAAGAGAGTGGGAAAGAATAGGATCAGGACTGAGACTTTGCTTTAGCCTTCATGACCTGAAGAGTTGAATGATTCTTTGCTGGGGAAATTGGCAGTTAAGAGAGATTCATATCTGTGTTAAATATATACATATATATGAAGTGGTTATTGTTCTGCTTTTGTTAACTATTTAATAAACGTATGTGTAGTTAATTCAAAGTGTCTTGGTTTTTCTCAATTTCTATTTACAAAGTCCCATATTAAGGAAATCTATGGGTTGTTATACTTGGAAAACCTGAACCCAAATGAATCCAGACAATCAACGGTTACAATTTGGGGGGGATGGGGCGGTCCAGATAGAGGTTGCTAATAAATGAGGCATTTGTGTTAATAGTCACACTTGAATTTGGACTGTATACAAGACCTCAGTAAACAATCAAGCAATTGTTTACCATAAACTGAGCACCAGTCAATGGTAGAAACCACTATAATAAGCAACTCCTTTCTCCTGATAGACACCATCAGTGATAGTCTAGATCCTGAATATGCTTGGAACCTTAAGAGTCATTGGGCTGAGCTCTTGGGGCCAGAAGAGCACCCAAACCAGTCAGGAAAAATAGCATGCAGCCACATTCACTATTGTCCTCTGCTCTCTACATCCGTGAAAAATGTCCCTGTGATAAAAATAAAAATACACAAGATCCAAATATTGTTAGGTGACATAGAGAAAGATCAGCATAGGAATTACCTTTGAGTAATTGGACTAAGAAAATCCTTAAATAGTATTTTAAATTATTATTGTGTCCACATT